GTATGTTGAAAAATATGAAAAAATTAATGTTGTGTTAAAATAACATGAAAGAAATCAAAAGTAAAGCATCTAAAAACATATATTTAAAAAAAAAGTAATGTTAGTCAAGTCAAGTTATCAAAACTGCATTGTTTCATCGAAACAGTGTTAAAATCACAAACTCTCCATTTAGAGTTTGATTCTTGAAGAAAACTCAATTTATTACAAATGAATGAATATTTTACCAAGTTATAAAGTTTTCCATACATAAACGTGTATCTTACAGTTCCTTTGTGAGAGAATTACGCACAAATTGCAGTATTTTATCTGTTTTATGTGCACTGTTGGAGGAGCCTGTGACCTATGTTTTTCATTGACATATCTACACTGTAGCTAATGGGCATATGCCATAAAGCCTTGAAACTTGAAACTTAAAATGATCAGAAACTACATTGTCTCACTGAAAACAGCTCTAAAGAAAACCCAATTCCATACAAAGTACTTAACTTTCTACCAGTTGTAGAGTGTTGCTCACTTCAAAAGTGTATCTAAAAAGTATCTTAGTAACAAAAACAAAAGCACTCCAGTAGATGTAGTAAAGTCTAATCTGACGGGAGAGACCCGGTGCTGCGGACTAATCGACATGCATCTCTGCATGCGGTGAGCGGAACAAAACACACTCTTCAGATATCACACGTAGCTATTTTAATTACCTCTCAAACTACCTAAACTAGTTATAGATATGTTTTAGTTTTACTGTCGAGTCACTCATTATTGGACCCGCGACGTTGATAATGGCGTGTTGTCAGGAGGGGGGAGAGCAGTCCGTTTATTATTCCCGTGTTATTGTAAATTACTGTACACGTTTTGAATAGTTAATTAATCTACTAAAATTAGTTGGTTTAATATCGAATCATATCAGTTTGTTTCAAAGCTCATTAAATAACATAGAAGACCTTTAACCGGCACTTTTCTAATTTTGCCCCGGAAGATTTAAACTGTAACGAACATGCCGACCGGACAGGAGGGGGGAGGAGGAGGGGGTTGAGAGGGGTGGGGGCTGAGGAGGGGGTGGGGGCGACAGGGAGGATGTGAAACCTGCTGTAAGGAGGGGGTGGGTTGAGAGGGTGGGGGCTGAGCGGGGTGGGGGCTGAGAAGGGTGGGGGCTACCGGTGAGGATGTAACACCTGTATGTGAGGGGGAGGGGGGTGGGCTGAGGGGGGTGGGGGCTACCGGGGAGGATGTAACACCTGTACGCGATAACACCTCAAACAAAGGGGCTCATTAGCATATCAAAGGGGGCTCATTAACATAATTAGGGGGCGGGACTTAGAAGGTGTGACCTGTCACTTTTTTATGCATACTAATGAGATTGAAGCGGCATTGGTAACACTACTCAGGTTATTGACGTGAAGTTTAAAAGTAAGACAATCATCAAGCCAGATACCAAGGTATTTATAACAGGTAACCATTTCGGGTACTTGTCCTTGCATAGTCACAATATCCAAAGCAGTCTCTGGAGTCTTTTTAGCTTTAGAAAAGAGCATTACCTTGGTTTTCTCAACATTTAAAAGAAGCTTAAGCTCAGAGAGCTGAGTCTGAATAATGTTAAAAACAGCCTGTAATTTAACAACAGCCTCGTTAATGGAGGGACCTGCACAGTACATCACGGTATCATCCGCATAAAAATGTAAAGTAGCTTCATCCACATTTTCACCTAAACTGTTGATATATATGGAGAATAAAAGTGGACCTAAAACTGAACCTTGAGGAACACCATTAGCAATGTTTAACCACTCAGAAGACAGCCCATCAAAGTGAACACATTGGGACCTTTCAGAGAGGTAGTTCACAAACCACCCCACTGCATGGCTGGATATGCCAATACTGAGTAGCCTCTGCTTTAAGATGCGATGATCGACAGTGTCAAACGCTTTGGAAAGGTCAATAAATAGAGCTGCACAACTCTGCTTTTTATCTAAAATACTTGTAATGTCATTCACCACTTTCATTGTGGCAGTGATGGTGCTATGTTGCTTTCTGAAACCTGACTGATGTTTAGACAGGATATTATTTTGACATAAAAACTCCTTTACCTGCTCACTCTCTAGGCGTTCAAGAACCTTAGCCAACTGACAATTTAGAGATTGGCCTATAGTTATTTAAAATAGTTGCCTCCCCTCCTTTTAGTAGAGGCATGACATACGCTGACTTCCATACTTTTGGAATTGTGTTTGTGCTGAGGGAGAGGTTACAAAGAGAAGTGAGAGGTGAAGCAATAAAACCTGCAGCTATCTTTAAAAAGAAAGGTTCTACGTTGTCCGGACCAGCCGGTTTCTTAGGATCTAACTTAGATAATGCTTCATGAACAACATTTACAGTAAAAGGAGTAAAACTGAAAGGGTTTTCCATGCAGACCACATTGTTCAGAGTCACAGACTGTGGTGTTCACAGAAGCAGAGTTAGTCACAGAATCAAACAGAACCGCAGGACACAAAATGCTCATTAAAACAATTTAGCATAGTAGCCCTGTCCGATATAGAGCCAGATGTTGTGGTAATGCACGGAGGTAGCTCATTACGGATCTCACCGGTGGATATCGATTTTATGGCTTTCCAAAATTTCCTAGGATTATTTAGGTTTTCTGTAGTAACTGACAGTACTTCGACTTAGCACTTTTGACATGTGAAGTGAAGCTATTTCTTAGTTGCCTAAAACGCAGCCATTCTACCTCTGAGCCTGATTTCCTAGCCTTTGCCCAGGCCTTGTTTCTCTCATGCAGGAGACTGGACAGTTCAGCAGAAAACCAAGGCTTGTCTCGTCCCTTTACTCTAAATGTACGTAGGGGTGCATGTCTATCTATAATTTCCATAAAACCAAGATAAAAATAAGACCATGCAGTTTCTACATCAGCACACAGATCGATTTTTCCCCAATCAAACCCAAACAGATCATGAACAAAACCCTGCTCCACAAAATGTTTTATGTGTCTCTTAATGATAATACGAGGTTTAACCTTTTGGACCTTAGTGTCCCTAATTGTGGCTACAACACAGTGGTCACTCACATCATTTGCAAATACTCCCACAGATGAGTATTTATGGGGCACATTAGTTAAGATGAGATCAATTAGGGAGGATTTATTAGGGGACTTAATGTTAGGGCGAGTAGGACTGTCAACAATCTGAGTAACATTCAGAGAGATACAAAGGTTTTTAAAATCCTCTGATACTGCAGTTAACCAGTCCCAGTTCAAATCTCCAAGTAGCACTATTTCCTTATAGTCTAGTTGCGATAAAAGTTTTGCTAGTGAAGACAAGGAGTCCTTGACAGCTGAGGGGGGTCTGTAACAGCAGACCACCATGACCTTTGCCACTTCTATATTTAAGGCTAAAAATTTGAATTGCTTACTGATAGATTTGGAAACCAATGTAGTTACACTGAACTTATTCTTAACATAAATGGCAACGCCACCACCTTTATTAGGCCGGTCGGTACGATACATATTATAACCATTTAAGGCAATGTCAGAGGCAAAAATAGTTTTATTTAGCCATGTTTCTGATAACACAATGACGTCAGCGTCAGTCGAGCTTGCCCAAATGCGGACAAAATCTAGTTTACCTAACAGACTGCGCACATTCAAGTGGATGAAACCCAACCCAGACCTAGCTTTAAAATCAGCAGGAGTAGCGATCTGACTACTACTACTGGGCGGACCAGGGTTAGGTTGTACATTTCCTGACAGTAATAACAACAACAAAAACAGGCATCTTTTCCTCTTAAACGACACACATACATTGTCATCTACTTTAGAATCACCGGAGAAGTCTGCGAGAGTGTGATTTGAGCTTAAGAAGCAGTCCTGAAGAACCATCATCGCAGGCAAACAAAAAAGACAAACATATTTTGTCGAGCAGATTGTCTGTGACAAGGCAACCGGTAATTGTTTGTGTAACACATCCGACCCTTTGCAGGGGATGCCCACTGCGGGTGGCAGAACAGACCTGAATCCAGTAGACTTCTCAGAATGACTAGAGATCTTCTCATAGTCCAGAACAGTTAAAGGTAGGGTAGGTAAGTTTGAGAAACCGGCTCGAGATCGCTAGAATTTGAAAATACACAACCGGAGAAAATCTGCCACTTCCTTATAGAGCCCCTCCTCCAACACACACGAACGCGCACATGACCAATGAGGGCACGAGATAAGTTTGTGCACAGATGGAAGGCTGACAGGCAGGTAGGCCATCCAGTTATTTTAGCCGGGCCGGCTAAAATGATTGGTCGTGCTTTTTACAGTATTACGGCTTCCACAGATGACATTTTTTTATGGATTTTTTGTCAAAGTACTTAAGATATTCATTGCTATCGGGATGTTAAGAGCATTCCATGGAATATAACAAAAAGTGTATCTCGAGCCGGTTTCTCAAACTTACCTACCCCACCTTTAACATGCACAGCAGAATCACGATATGGGCCATTTTCCCAGACCAGCACACAGTATCCGCGATGTTCCTGGGGCAAAAATCCTCCTCCTCACAGCAGCAAAGGACAGGCGAAAGCAGCAGCGTGGAAGCGCTCCGGTCTCTCCGTGGTATCCCCGGGGTAAAAGGTCTCCTCAGCAAAGCAGCACACGACACTGCAGCACACGACAGGTGGGAGCAGGCCTCCGCAACAGCAGAACCAGGACAGGCGGAAAGCAGGCCCCAGCCGCAGCAAATCCTCCTCCGCACAGCAGGCCCCAGCCCGAAGCGTGGAGCCACTCCGTCTCACCGCGATGTCTCCGGGATTAAATCCTCCTCAGCACAGCCGTACTCTACAGGTGGGAGCAGGCCTCCGCAGATCGTAGACACCTGGCAGGTGGAAAGCAGGCAGCAGCCGGTGGAGCCGCTCCGTCTCTTCGCGACTTCTCCGGGGGAAAACCACCTCAGCACAGCCGTACTCGACAGGTGGGAGCAGGCCTCCGCAGACTGCAGACAACAGGACAGGACGGACCAACAGTGACACGGTCTCGACACGAGTGAATAAAGAAATAAATCCTGCAGAGCTGGACTTCCTCCTGAGATACCCTGTCCAACCAGCTGTGATATCACCGCTGGATTTCCTCTCCAACCACTCCTGGGGGGGGCTCAAGGTACAGAGAGACACAGATGAATACTGAAATGTAATGTTATGAAATGCAAAGACCAGTATGACCTGGGACCTCAATTATAAACGTAGCGTACGCTAAAAAGATGGCGTACGCCAATTTCCAAGAAATCTTAGCGACTTATAAAAAACAAACTTGACGGGAAAATGTGCGGTCCTCCACGGACATTTTGACCCATCCGTACGCACAAAAACGGAGAGATGAGAAACTGCGACATCGTTGGCAGAAGGAAGAATGGAGAGAAACATGTGGACATAATAGCATAAATCTAAATATTTCCTCTCATATATGAAGAATTCATTTGCAAAAAAAGGTGAATGCCAATCTGAAAATGATTAAACAAACACCTGTTTGATACTCTTGAGTGCATACAACAACATAACTTGGAGAAATAAATAAAAATGCATAATGTTATTGAAAACTATCTCAAACAATTCTCTTACATGTTCAAAGGTTTTTTTTGAACGGTCCTTTCCAAATAAAGTTAATTCATATTATGCCTTTGCTAAAACTTGATGGGTCGCTCCGAAAACACAAAAGGTTTGTAAACTAAGAACACCATATATTTGGTAAATTGTACAGCTGATTTCACACATCTGTTTTATTTCCTTTAACTGTTGGATAGAGTTGCTGCGGGGGGTTAAGCTCACAGGGTGCAGTGGAGACAGAGTCGGAACACGAACCACCAAATAAATAGAAATCTTTTTGTAAACAAAGTCTGTTTTGTACATGTTCAAACCCAGCTTGATTGCAATTGGTTTACTATCATTTCTAAAAAGGGAAGAACTTTACGTTACATCTGAGTTATCCTGTGTGTTAGAAACTTTTTCGGACCCCTTATTTATTTGTTTTGGTGACGATCCGAGCTTCTGAGGCAGCAGCGTTCACAGAGTGCTCCGCATGCTGCAACTCTTTGTAATGTTCGAACTGCGGCCACCAAACAATATGATTTGCTTGAGTCCACCTCCCCAACAAGAATAAACATATTACATGGTGTGAAATGTTTTCTTTTAGCTGTTCTGTCTGCATTTCCTACGATCGTCGTCATGCAGTCAGTCTAAATAAATATGAATACGGGCCGTTTATTTTACTATTTAATGGCAAATATGGACGTTACATGAAGCCCGCAAAAGATGCGGCCGGGAAACCGGCGTAGGACGTGCGTGCACTCTCTATAAATCTGGATATTTTTGTGTGTAAGCACTTCCTTTGTTCCTACGTACGCCATCTTTTCACGTGAATCCTACGCAAAGTTTTATAAATGAGGCCCCAGATCACATGACATCTAGGTGTGTGGAGGAACCAGAATGTGGAGACTAATGCTGTGGACTGGTGCTAGGGCTCAAACAGAAAATGAAGCATAAGATATTGTTTTCATCTTTTAATCAACAACAACAACAAACTGTTCCTCCTGCGGAGCCATGCAGGGTTATATAAAGTGGATGTTATGACAGAGCTAATATGAAAGTTAGTTTTTTATTTTGGACCCTTTGGCTCTCCGTTCCATCAAAGGTAACACTGCCAAGAGGGTTTGCTTATAGTATATTCAGGCCCAATTCCAAACCACACCCTACCCACTCCCACTCAGTGGCGGAGTGACACTTGCAGCTCAACGAGGCTCCCTCCTGTCAGATGGAGGGAGTGGATTGGAATTGGGCCTGTGTGTGTGTGTGTGTGTGTGTGTGTGTGTGTGTGTGTGTGTGTGTGTGTGTGTGTGTGTGTGTGTGTGTGTGTGTGTGTGTGTGTGTGTGTGTGTGTGTGTGTGTGTGTGTGTGTGTGTGTGTGTGTGTGTGTGTGTGTGTGTGTGTGTGTGTGCTGTTCTCCACAGATGAGATAAGGTGTGTATAAGCTGGGGTGTCACAATAGAGCCCGTACTAGTTCTGCAATGGATGCATTTTCAGCCCCCCCCCCCCCCCCCCCGCTGTCACTTTATGAAAGGGATCCTGGTTACTCAGCATTTCCGTTTGAATTAATATTATTTATATTGGCGTGACAAAAAATAAGCAGTCCTTTCTGTATTTTGTCTCTTTATTCTACAAACTTTTGCAAACAAAGTCTATCATTTTGCTATGTGTTGTGAAATGTGTCTAAAGGGGTGGAACTGTTAGAAGTGCACACAGTAGATTTTCTTTATGATTCATTTTTCTTCCCAAATATCCAGTCCCTGTGCTCCATGGAAGAGTTCGGGAACCTGGACCGAGACATCGAGGGCTCGGCCAAGCGCTGGAAGAAGTTTGTGGAGTCTGAATGTCCAGAAAAAGAGAAACTCCCTCAGGAGTGGAAGAACAAAACCTGTCCAGAGACTGTGCATAATGAGGGCCCTGAGGCCGGACCGCATGGCGTACGCCGTCCGGTGAGAGCCTCTCTGAACCGGGCTGTGTGCTGTAAGGGTCAAAGGTAGACCTTTTGCTTTTAGTTTGATGTGACAGCGCCGTGCTCACCGCTGCTGCTGTTTCGCTGTCTGTAGCTTAGAGCTAGCTCAATGACATAGCTGTAAAAGACTATTCCTAAGCCTCATTATAAGCCTTAAAGGTCTCCTATCATGCAAAATGCACTTTTTGATGTGTTTTATACATAAAGATGTGTCCCCGGTGTGACAGGGAACTCACGCAGCGTCAGAAAATAAAACCTTCTCTCTTTTCCTCCGTACCCAAATCTCTAAAAACGGGGATACAACGGAGCTGATCCAGATTTGCGGCAGGTATGACGTAATATCGGCGGCGGACCCAGAGCACTATCAGAAACGTTGCTATCAGAAACAATGCCCGACTGTTTTGGACGTAATATGGTCGGTGTTTACATTAGCATCGCTAACACTTAGAGCTAACCTGTACTGGAGAGAGCATGTGTGTGAAGAAGCTGGAAATAAAAAGGAACTCACCTTGTGGTATAACCGGCAAGAGAGAAAGCCTTTGAGCTCCATACTGTTTCAGAAATAATCCTTGATCTAATAATCCTTGCGTTTCATCACCGCAGCATTTTAGACAGTATCTGCCAGGTCCCCGCATGAGCTGGGCATAAGCTCCGCCCCCTCTTATCTAAAAAAAATAGAGGTGACCATCTCATTCTCAAGAGAGACCTGTTTATACCAAGAATCAGCACTTTTGGAACAGGAAGTGAAATAGAGGGATATGAGGCATGGCATGGGTGATCTGTTTGGTATTTTGAGCAAAACACTTCATAGACATGTTTGTTATATTTTTTTATATATCTGAGACCTATGCTATTGCCTAATAATAGCATGATAGGTGACCTTTAACATTTGTCTAAGGACTTTCAGTCTATCAGACTTTGATCTCCGGCTGCTCCTTTATAACTAAACTGTATTATCAATATCTTTCAAGGGTAAACATTGTTCTGCCTGTGCTCTTTTAAACATGTAGTTAATTAAATAATAAAGAAATAACACTACACATTTACTTAGTTATGTTCAGTGAAAAATGTTTTTGCGTGTAGATAAAATGTTAGGAATGTAAATTAAAATAAGCCTTTTGTTGACTTTTGGTCATCAGGACATACAGCAGTGGACTCCTGGGTCTACGTCTGTATTTTTATGTATTTGTATCAGCAATTTTGAAAACATCCAAATATAATCCTACACAATACTCTTCACTCACTCATTTTTTAGGAACTTGCCTGGTATTAACATGCAATACATACCTGAATACTTTGTCTGGATAATCAATTCCTTTTCCCTTTTAGGGGATTTGAATTTCCTCATCAACAGAATTTACATAACATTTTATCATCAACATATTTCATCAGGTGTTTACATTAAAAAAAATGTAGATTTCTTTATTTAAAAAAAAATTGTAACCACAGTAAGTAATCCTGCAGTTTGAAAGAGCCACCAACAACATGTCATGTTTTTCTATAAGATCTGCCTGTCTAATGCTCTGAACTACAGATGATTCCCACTTCAAGGTTTTCAGCTTGAGTCATGTTCTCCCTGCAGAGACTTTGTGGAGGAGAGACTGGGGAGCACGTACGTGATAGGCAGATCACTAGACTTTGCGCTCTCCTTTGAAGAGTCGGGTCCAGCTACGCCCATGTTCTTCATCCTCTCTCCTGGAGTCGATCCTTTGAAGGACGTGGAGAAACATGGTAACACATATTGGACATATCTGTCAATCTTTTTCTTGTGGGAACATGCTATATTTTATTTGGAAAAGCCTATTGAAGTCAAGTGCAGGCATTCCTACAAGTTGATTCCCAACATCACATACTACAGTATGTACAGCAGGCTGTGGGTAGATAGAGACATTGTACTAAAGGTCACAAATGTATGAGAGGACACTGGTGTATTGGGGGCCGCAGAGAGTAAATGTCACCTGTTTTAGAGTTCCTTTATAACCCTGTCTGAATCCTGTGGATGGCAGCAGGACACGCCATTATTATTTCTGACCACAAATGTGCTTTTCAAAGCCTTTGTGCTGACCTGGCACGGGGCGCAATCACGCATCGCTTTTGAATCTGCTGTCAAACTATTCAGTGTGTGGATATTTTAGGTCAGCTCTATGAAAAGTTCAGATTGCAAGGATTGTATCAGTTTACTAGAACATAGAGATTTCCATGTGGTTTCTACTAAGTGAGTCGCCATTCAAATGATAAATCATGATGGACCCATCGTTTTGCCTGATGGTACTTTCTTGGATTTCTATTTCTGCTTTAATTTCCTCCTTAATTGAAATGACATGTTGGTGATTTCAACATGACAATAAGCTTTTCATTTACTGAAAATACTTGGCAGCCTGCTCAAAGACACTACAAAGAAGTAGAGCCGGTTGGCAGCAGGCGGTGGACAGACCTCGGCCCCCTCTGAGTGATAAAATGGAGCCCTCCCTGTAATGGCTGTGATTATGGATTATCTACACCCTTGAGCGTGGTCAATCACATCAAAGCTAAAAGTAAGCAATCAGTGCAGCTCAGAGCACGGTGGCCACATTACGCTGAACCACATTCTGCAGATGTGCTTTTCCATTATAGCTGTGACTATTAGCTTTCTTATTGGTATTAGGCCTCAATTAGATTTTCAATAGATAGATGATGTGATTATGTATGCTCTGCAGGGGACTTCTCTCCCTGAGACCAAACCTCGCTATATGCCTGGTTTCAGATTCAAGCTTTAATGACACAGAAACCGTTTTATTGTTTGAGTTACATCTCAGTGTAAGGTGGGCAAGTGAGTCATGGACCGTCTGCTGATTATGATAATAAACACTGGCTTTTGAGGAAACTTTTATCAAGATTATTATCTTTTCCTTTTCTGTGTTCCGTAGTCGTAGTGTGTAGCTCAATCTTTCACTTCAGTGTGTTACTGGTTTGTTAAGTTCTGTACAAAGCTAGGCTTATATAAGCATTGTTTGCTGCACCGTAGTTTCATGCTCTTTCACTATCTTTAAATAATATATAATATATCAAGCAGAAAAACTGAAACTGATGACACAGTACGCTCAGAAGGGCTTGGGGTTTCTGTGTTAAATATTGTTCTGTAAATGTGCTGACCACTTTTAGCCGTCACAGACCAGAAGACGGTGGAAACTGCTGGCGTGTTAACACTTTGCATGTGTATTTAACTAATGTAGAGCAGAAAACAGGACAACGTCCTTTGGAACGCAGTTAGCTTATTCACAGCCATGCTGTATATAAATAGTCCTGTTGCTCTAATTAGCGCTGGCTTTCTGCACTATCTAACTCTGATCTAAACCCAGGTGACTCCTCGGTGTGCATTGATGCCGGTTTTCCTAGCTGACGATATACAAATTGTAAATAAGAGCCGTTTACACGAGGACGAAGCGGGTTGTATCCGCATAGTTTCTCTTGGGTATAGCCCTTTCGTTTACACGAGGCCGTGACAAAACGATAGAAACGGACCCCGCAAACGACAACGGGTCCCAAGGTGGATAGACCTGCAAACGGAGCGCTCTGGGGGGGTCAAACGGCTCCGTGTAATCGCCTCTATACGATCATTTTCGATGAAATAGCCACGTCTCCCTCTCCCCACGTCTCCCTCTCCCCACGTCTCCCTCTCCCCACCTCTCCTGCTCAGAGATCAGCTGCTGGGCTGTCAGAAGAGGGGGAGGAAAAGAGAGGCTCCGTTTATTATTCTTATATCATTATACAGAGTCGTTATCAATTTGTTTTAAGTAAGGGATAATGTGCAGCGAGGCGGTCATTATGGGTAAAAGAACACCCGACAGGCAGATCAGGAGCATTAGTTAGCATTTTTTCGCAAAATGCTAATTCAAAGGCTTGGTATTACTCTTGTGTTTCTTTTAGCTAAAAATGCTTCAAATCTTCAGTTAGTTGAGATTCTTACCGTTAATCTGGTGCTACACATTAATAGTTTCATAAATGTTAAGAAGCCCTGAGACATTGTCTAAAAAGAAAACAGTGGGAGGGGTCCAATGGGGGGACCGCCGTGCTTAAGAGGTTAAGTACTTTGTCAGGCTTAATATTTATCTGTAGATACAAATGTCACTGTGTGTGCTGTGTGCTCTGCATGTGTGACCATCAGAGGGTTTCATCCCTCCATATTCATCTTCTATACCCCCAAAGCTTTTTTCTTATTCAAAAGAAGACCTTAACCTAAAGTATTCTTTAATGTTTAAATAAAGCCTTATTAGTTGGTCTGTTTTGTACATCCTCCTATTAATATCTAAAATTCAAGGTTCCTAAAAGCAGGCTAAACCGTTACAAACACTCATTCCTACCAACATGCATTAAGATTCTCAACAGACAGATATAATGTATAGTTTTAATGTTGGCCATGGGGTTTGTGCAATAGGGCGTCAGTGTCAGTATGTTGTCTATGTATACTTTAATGTGCAATCTGTGTACATGTAGTGTAAGTCATGTGTGAATATGCTGCAAATGTCTTTACAAGGACAATAAAGTGTATCGTATTGTATCTCTCACCAGTCAATTCAATTATTTTAAACTTGTGACATTGATCATTATTGTGAATAACGGGATTATTTTGTTCTTTACAAAAATGTTGTGTTTCCTTTCAGGGAAGAGGCTGGGTTACACATTTGACAACAAGAACTTCCACAATGTGTCCCTGGGTCAGGGGCAGGAGGTGGTGGCTGAGCAGGCCCTCCACCTGGCAGCTAGGAGCGGCCACTGGGTCATATTACAGGTATGAACACACACATACAGGCACACACACTAATACCCCCATACCCAGTATAGCAAAGACAAGCAGTTGTTTAATTACCTTTGCATGAACATCACAATCAATAAGCTTCAAAGGCCTTGTCCCCCCCGGCAACAAACCTCCCACTCACTTTATCATCATCATTATCTGTCTGTCTGTCTGTCTGTCTGTCTGTCCGTCCGTCCGTCCGTCCGTCTGTCTGTCTGTCTGTCTGTCCGTCCCGTGTAGATCAAATGGTGTCTGTCCTGTTTACCTGCAGTGTTTTCTCCTAATTTCTATTTGTGCCCTCTCATTCTTCTATAACTTCATACATTTGTCTTTTCTTTTCCAACAGTTGCCCTCTTATCAATCCTCACATCCTCCCACCTTTTAAGCTAACATACTAGTTCATTCGATCAATCAATCAATCAATCAATCAACCAATCAATCAATCAACCAAAATACTATATTAATCCCAGGGGGAATATATTTTTGGTGTCCACCCCTCCTCAACTTCTTTTCACTACTCTCCCCCTGCCATCATCTGAACATCTGTCAGAACATCTGTCATCTGAGTGCACCCACAGTCACACCCCCCCCTCTAATTTTGCTTTCTTATTTCATTCCCTGCATTCCCTCATATAATTGAAATAGGCAGACTAATAATGAGCAAAAGGCTTGAGGAAGGTTCATTTCAGTCGTATAGATCAGTTTTTTTGTGTGCAGCACATTTCTGTATTTGATTGTGTTTTCTACGGCAACCACTTTACCATTCATAGAAAACAGACAGCCAACATCAGAATACATTTCCCATGGCTAGAATGAAATATGATTTGAACGTATAGCGGAGAGTTAGCGGACAATGGAAAATAAAAGCCTTCACAGCCTACAACAGTCAACTGAGGCCCCAGCTCCATGGGAACGCATACGGCAAAACGCATCGGAGTAACGCAAATGCAACCGCAAAAAACCTTCCGTCCCCACGCAATATACACCGGATTGTGTCAAGCTCCACGAGACGGCTCCGTTTACATCCAACCGCTGGAAAAGCTGCAGTACATATGCCGAGCCTGTACGTGGCGCTGTAACTTCCTCCACAAAAGCAGCAACTTCCTCCACAAAAGCAGCGAAGAAGAATGGTTGTCATGGCTGCACTTCTGTTTATTCTCCGCGGTGGAGGCCGAGGGATCTGGGCAGAGTTTTTCGCCGGTCAACGTGTGTTAAAGTTGAAATCTTCCGGACAAAATTATAAAAGTGCCGGTCAAAGGTCTTCTTTGTTATTTATTGAGCTTTAAAACAAATGAATAACGACGATATAATGATATATGAAAATAAAATACACAGAGCCTGTCTCTTTTTCCTCTCTTCTGACAGCGTCAGTGTCTGTCTCATGCAGCAGCTGATCCAGTAATGATGACTCGACAGTAAAAATAAACATATTTATAACTAGTTTAGGTAGTTTGAGAGGTAATTAAAATAGCTATTGTTGTTGTTAACGAAACACATCAGCAATGATGCGGGGTACGCGGAGAGGTGGGAAGAGGTGGGGAGAGGCGGGGCTATGAAACGGATGACCGTATAGGCGACCCCACGGCCCCATTGGACCCCCCAGAGCGCTCCGTTCCCAGATCTATCCACCTTTGGACCCGTTGTCGTTTGCGGGGTCTGTTTCTACGTTTCCGTTACGGCGTCGTCGAGCTTAAAGGGCTATACGCATGAGAAATATGCGGATTCAACCCGTTTTCGTCCCCGTGGAGCCTAGGCCTAAGTCCCTCAGTGCTGGTGGCTGCGTCTGCATCAGTCTGCCTCTCACCGCAGGGTGCTGGGGCCCAGCTGTGCAGCGCTCCTCAGTGCTGCTGCTGGATGAATGTGTGTGGAAGAGAAATGCTGTGTGTGTGATCTGCATGTGTTTCTATCTGCTCTTTAGGAGCCAGCATGTGTGTGCATAAAATACAGTTTGACATGCCATTGTTCTTTCTTTCCCTCAGGTTGTGTGTGATAGTAATGCATCAAAGACCTTGCCAGTGGTGTCTTCTAATGGGTTTTAGATTCAACTTTTATATTACTATGTAAATAGGAGACTCTTTTGATGTAGTGTCAGCGCAGTCATCAGAGGGCTGGAGGCCCCTATCATGAGGCGTTGAGGGAACACAAATGTTGCACCTGGAACTTAATTAAAAAGCCATAAAATAAAACAGCTGCTCCTCTGTCTTGTTTGTTTTTGTCAACCCGCTGGTTTCTCTCCCTCGCATTCTCGAACCCTCCCCTCTGTTGTCCCCCTCGCAGCCAGAGGATGAATGGTTTCATTACAGTTTGGAAACAGTCTCTGAATTCTCTGTTGGCTCTCTTTATTGCCAAACGATTTACATGCCAAGAGGAATGGTTGATGTAAAAGCGCTTGAATTTAGACTTTTAATTTGCATACCATTCATTATTCTCTAGAGCAAACTCACTTATCCCCCCCTCAGCTTCAGGCTCCTCCCACACTTTTTCCTCACAGACATGAAACTTCTCTAGCCTCTGGGTTTTTTTATGACTCTCCTCAAAAATGAGGTTCCTCTCCCTTACTTGAGCCATCATAAGGAAGATTAAATATGAAGAGCAAAGCGAGTGAGAAAGTAAAGAGGCTTATGAATTAATGACTGGAGTTATTAGTGCTGTAATTAGATTTAGGGAATGGGCAGTGCTGCATGGTGAGATGTGGGCGGCTCAGCTCACCCCTTATCATTCACAGGATATCCTGTAAGTGTCAGGGCTGTTGAGTTGGAAAATTGAGCTCATCCAAGCTTGCGTGATAGTACAAGACAGCTCCACTGCCCGAGACACACTGAGATATGAATGTGCAGAAAAGTCAAGCTGGAGTTCTGCTGGAGAGGACGCTTATGGCGCATTTCCACTGCAGGGCCTCGCACGGCTTAGTATGGTATAGTTAGGCCTTGGTAGGCCAGGCTCACTTTATGCTGCGTTTCCATTACAGTTTAGGAACTGGGGCAGTAACTATAGTAACGCAGTGTAGGCGGAGCCGTGACGTCATCTTCAATGCGAAACACAAAACCAACATCAGCCGTTAGCTGTTAGCACTCAGAGCTCACAGCTCCTCATATATGTTCAGAAACTAGACAAAAGTTAAACAAGTACAAACCACAGACTGCCTGTGTCATGGTGAATACAGTCACTGGTTTATTTATGTCTGTATAGGCCGTTGTTGTGAGTGTGGACGGTCGGGGCATATACTGTGTTAGCTTAGCCAATCTCCATTTAGAAAACACACATTTTAAAAGGTTTTTCGCCTGCCGTCTGTCTGCAGACTTGTCAAAGCATTAATTCATGGTTTTTACTAACCGGTATCAGTATGTTGTTACTTCGGCATCATTTTGAAACGTGTATTACAATTAAATCACGGTCAAATATGTTCATCTTGTTGTAGTTGCCAGCGATTCTCTCACTAGTTCAGCATACTCAGCCCGGTTGTTGGCCCGGAAAGAACCTCGATTTTGGAGAGCAAGAAAACTGTGAAAAAGTACCCGCTAGCCGGAACTACGCCTAGTGGAAACGCAACCAAAAACAGGCCGGGCACGCTTAAACCGCGCTGTAGTGGAAATGCGCCATTAATGTCACCAACCTACAATTGGCTTTCAAGTGCTGTGCACCATTTAATTTGGTGCCACATCAAAGTCACACCAAAGAGACGAGGATATGCATCATTTTAATTGCATAACCAATATGCACTATACTGGCAAATCCAACATCAAGTACCATATAGAGCTATTTTGTGCTGTCCATTAACTCAGACTTTCACAGATATCCAACAGAAAGCACTGGGTGTAGATTAGGCTCTACCACTACCATGCCATTTTCATGTTTCCTGTAGAATATCCACTTGGTGGCTCGCTGGCTGGGAACTTTAGAGAAACTTCTGGAGCAGCACGCAGAGGGAAGCCATGAGAACTTCAGGGTGTTTGTCAGTGCTGAGCCCTCCTCCAGCCCTGAGGGCCACATCATCCCACAGGGCATCCTGGAGAACTCCATCAAGATCACCAATGAACCTCCTAGTGGCATGCAAGCCAAGCTGCACAAAGCCCTGGATAACTTCAGCCAGGTGATGGTTCTCTCCTGAAGGCCTTTAGTGGTGGAGGAAAGTAACACCAATGAACTCCAGGGCCTGACAGCTCTGACAGATACAACTTTAAGAGGTAATTCGTAATTTTTTGTAATTCTTAGGTATGTTCAATATGTATTTTAATATAATAATGTGAAAGGGCCTTTTCCATTTCAAAGGTTCCATCAAATGGTACCACTGGTTACGTAACGTTCATAATTCCTGTTGTAATCTTTAAAGGAGTTCAGTGGCTATTTAACTGGATCAGGTATGTTGGGACCACCTTCCTCTGAAGCCATGAAGAAGAAAAATCCCCCAGAGGAAATTCCAGATTGAGTGGCAGTTGAAACCAGACATTCCGGTTTCACTCCAGATTTCTTATCAAGTTGCCAATTTGTCGAAATGTAGGAGCTAACAGATGGGGGGGGGTCATCTTTACTCTGGCCATGGAGGAGAGATGTAAATGTATTTCATCTGAAACATGGAGCGTTTGTGTGGCTGTAGAGTGCAGGGACACATTTGTACGTAACCGGAGGAGAGATCACAACAAGTCAACATGCAGGAGCCTCTTTGTTTTCACTTCTGCTCTCTATCCAAGACCTCCCATTGCCTTAGTGCTGCTCCACCAACACATCTCCCCCCACATCGTGTCCTTAGAACTCGGCTTCCTCCCAGTCTTTAGTTTGCTGATGTCTATCTGCCTATCAGTGCAAAGTGCTTGTGAGCCCTGCGTCATGCAGACAAACAGCAAGGTCCACTGAGGTAATGATGGGGGAATATTCCATGCATGTTTACTCAGTGAAAGCTAATCAATGTTAGGCTAACTCTCTGTAATAGCCCACCCGCCTGGCTAAAGCCAACGCTATGCCAGAGAAATTATAGTTGCTTTGCTCATAACCTTTTCAGTACAGCTCTGCTGCCACAATATTTTAGTTTGAACTGTGAGAGCACTTGAATAAATGTGGTAAAGGCGTGCTGGCGTGCGTGTGTTCGTGCATGTGTGTGTTTGTGCATGAGTTTGAGTGTGCATGTTTGAGTGCCAGTCAGTCTTCACTGCTTATTTCCATAGGGGTTGTTGTCATGCTTATTTACCTTTCTCTCCCCAAGAGATTACAAGGCCATTACATTCAGCTTTTTTATTTGCTTGTCTGAAATAATGAGCCCAGGAGACGGTTGAAGGTAGGAAGCACCTGACAAGTTGTGACAATTAATCTCTTTGCCATCTAGTCATCTCATCTGTTAGTGCCTGCACTGCTGAGGACTTGTCAAGAGATCACATGTCTGCCTGCCTAAACTTTTGACCTGCAACACACTGCAGCGGCTTAGTTAATGCAGCTGTTTAGTCAAGGAGGTGAGTGTACTGTTTAATTTTCCACGATTAGTTTTTTGTTTTCTAGGACACACTGGAAATGTGCGTGCGAGACAATACATTTAAGAGCATTCTGTTTGCCCTGTGCTACTTCCATGCGGTGGTGGCAGAGAGGAGGAAGTTTGGTCCTCAGGGCTGGAACAGATCATACCCCTTTAACACTGGAGACCTCACCATTTCCATCAGTGTCCTCTACAACTACCTGGAGGCCAATCCTAAGGTACACGTGTTTTTGTTTTTATTCCTGTGCCAGGTATAACAATGACCACTATTTGTAATCTTAATTGGAAATCTAAACACATGTGCCCTCAGCTTAACACCACAAGCCACCTTCTAGTAAAGCAGCATCCCATCTAATTCCCAGGTGCCATACGATGACCTGCGCTACTTGTTCGGTGAGATCATGTACGGGGGTCACATCACAGATGATTGGGATCGCCGTCTGTGTCGGACCTACCTGGAGGAATTTATCAAGCCGGAGATGATGGAGGGAGAGCTGCAGCTGGCGCCTGGCTTCTTCCTGCCTGGAAACATGGACTACCACAGCTACCACCAGCTGAGGAAATACTAGATTTTCCAGGACAGGAGAATTACAGATCAATCATTCAGGTTGCAAAATTGATAGAACAGATGAAGAAAAACTGCTTAAAGTGTAAATTCTGAAAAATAAAAGATTAGATATAGAAAAACTATACAAGAACATAAAGACGGCACTCTGAGGGTTTCCTTGGGGCCACAAGGTTGGATCTTTGTGGTCACCAGCAAGAGCAAAGAGGCTTCATATTGCTCAAATGTAATCACTATATTTCCACAGGGACTTGGCTTGGCAACTGGAAGGTCACCAGTTCAAGTCCCGGAAAGACCAAGTGCTACCGAGGTGTCCCTGAGCAAGGCACCGTTCCCTACACTGCTCCCCGGGCGCTGTACAGAAGTGCAGCCCGCTGCTCCTAGCATTAGGATGGGCTAAATGCAGAATATACATTTCCCCTCTGCGGGACGATTAACGGTATATAAAAAAAAAAAACTCCTGTCTTGTTCGTTTCTCCCCCCTTACTTTGGTGTTCTTGATCAAATTTGAGCGGTCTGTTTTAACTGCTCTTATATTAACACAAAATCCATTAATCATCACCAAAGTTTATTCAACACCATTTTAATATCTTAACAATATTTCACATGTATAACTATGAGTATACAAAGAATAGACACTGAAAAAGTATTCCACAGTCACATGCTTGTGGATTTGTGGGTCAGGGTTCCTGCAGGTTTCGCCTACTCAAATTTAAGACTTTTTAAGACCTTTTTAAGACCACTTTGAATAGAATTTAAGACCTATTTCACGGCAAGAAAGTATGAAGGAAAATTGCTATGAAAGAAGAAATACGTCCCATAATTACTTACAAAGTAAATGTAAAGGCATAACAGTACAGAACAGTGTTAGCGTGTTAGACAAAAAGCGTGTGTGTGTGTGTGTGTGTGTGTGTGTGTGTGTGTGTGTGTGGAGACACTGTGATGGATCGTTGTAGCTATGTGAAGCTCAAGGCATATATGCTCGAATGGGAGCTGCCTGGACGCTGCAATCATGTTGCGCGCACTATCCGTGCTGAGTGTGCTGACTTTTCGTACAATGTCCCACTGTCTGGCTACCTGCATAAAGTCAAGTGCTCGGCGCAGTTGTCGGCGAAATGTCGCTCCTCTGTCTTCATTGAAACAGCTCCTTATATCCGTTAGCGCAGCTAGCTAGCACCAGATGCTAACAACAACAACAACACGTAAGGTGTGCCTCGCTCGCGCCACACATACACACACCCTCCCGGTCCTCCCGATGGCCAGTCCGGACCTGCCGGTGAGCGTGGAAGTGTGGTCTGCCACAAGCGGGCGGCAGGAGCGGGGCTGTCAGCATCAGCTTGTAGATGGTATTTTAAACTCGATGCGCTCTGAAACTACGGGGCGGCCGAGGACAAAAAATACACATGCGTTAATCGCGTTAAAATGTTAATCGCGTTAAAATATTAACGCGTTAACTTGACAGCCCTAGTTTTTTTATCAAAGGCTGGACCACAGCATGTTTTAGGCACTTTAGGTACTTTTCCTGTAGTCAGGCTGCTGTTAATTATATTAAGAACGTTAAGTCCAACAATGTCCCAGATTTCTTTAAAAAATCGCGCAGGGACAACATCGCTTGGAGAACCCGAGGGTTTCAATTGAGCAACAATTTCCATTAGAGCAGGAAGTGACACAAGCTCAAACTGATCCATAACAGCTGAGCAAGTGTCCATGACAGATGGATCATGGGAAGGAAGTGAGATGTTTGCTCTGATGGCGGTGACCTTGTCAACAAAAAACTGTAGAAACACCTCACAGGTTTCAGTGGAGGTTACTAAGTTGATGGATTGTGGGACATTTAGTATACAGTTTATAGTGATAAAAAGAACACGGGGTTTATGACAGTTATTACGTATAACATCTGAAAAATACTTCGTTTTTTCCGTTTTAACAACTTTCTGATATCTACACCAGGAGCCCTTTAAAATATCATAAGACACATGCAGCCTGTCTTTTTTCCATTTGCGTCACATGCAGCCTGTCTTTTTTCCATTTGCGTTCAGCCCTTCTGCACTCCTGTCTGGCAGTACGAGTGGACTCACTTAACTTTAGGGCGAACAGCTTTTAGTGGAGCAATAGTATCAAGGATGTCTTGACAAGAGGAGTGAAATAAATAAAGTAACTCCTCTGTATCACCAGTAATAGGATATGCTCTGTCATCCACAACATTTTTGAAGGCAGCAGAAAACTGAACAGCGGTGGAGGGTTTAAGCATGCGACGAAAATGAGCAGGTGGACACTGTTTACCAACAACACAAGGGATAGTGACGTCAAATAGAACAGGCATGTGATTGGAGAAAATTGGGTCGCATATCTCAACATTACATATTGATAGACCATAAGACAGGACAAGAGCCAACGGTTTGTTAGGACAGCAAACATGTATGTTTTACTATCTGATGGATGAGCATAATCTAGGGTTACCATTCCTTTTTTGACCGTGAATATCATAGGTGTTACAAAGTTGAGTTTGATCTTCAAATGCCACCGTGGAGGATATCATAAGGCCTTGAGGCAATCAAATGTAAAACACAATATTTATGATTGGTCAGAAGATTGGTCGAACACGACAGGATGGTTATCCATATGAGAATACAACAATGTTAATAGCCATGTTAACTGCGACCTACATTTTAAAAAAGCAATGTAAATTCATTTTTACATTTAGTTCAATGTAATGATTAATGTTTGAATCAGAATATCTTTGTTTTCATTGACATGTTTCTCCTGTATGTTAATGAGGAAGTGTGACGGTGAATGGGCTAACTGCAACTCTGTCTCCATTGGCTGCAGTTACACACTGCATAAGAACACTACAAAGAATAGGATATTATTAGCATTCGCAGAAAGTAAATAGCATTTCGAGGCATATTGTGGCACAGAGAAGGAAGACGACTCAGCAATATCACTCCTCTTCACAATATACAGGTGCATGCAATTAGCAAAAGTAAGCCAAGAAATACAGAGGACATCAAACGAGTTGACTACAAAGCATTTCTGCATTAAAGGCCAATATGTTTTACATCAAAACTTTCATCTGCACTAACTTAAAAGAATATTGATAGTCATTATGGATCAGCAGATGGGCAACGCCACATTTCCTTCTTCTTAATGTCAAATTCAGTCTGTCAATTGATCCTTACTGTTTGAATCTCACCCAGAAATATCTCAGCATTTCTCGGCTTCTCTGTCAGCAGTTCTGTAGAAGAAACATCTGAGAGAGAAAACACATGATTACTTTCTGTCCTCATGTAATTGGAGTTGCTAATCTTTATGGTGAATACAAATAATCTAGTGTTTAAAATGCTGTTCTATCCAGGTCGAAAATATATTTTTGTATTGTTTCCCTTTCCAAGAAAAAGTTATTTCATACATGGTTTTGCGCAGGCATCACAGAATATCAAACTTTCTTTCTACACTCGAGGAAAAAGTCAGTATTATTTCTATCCTAAAGCTTTAAAAGTATCTTGACAACCAAGCATTCCCCCATAAGTGATTGTTTAACGTCTCAATCCACATGCATGGGAATTAATCCGTTGCTTTAACTGCCTCCACCTGCAGTCAGATTATCCCAAAGCTGTTGGAGGGGGTTGGGGACAGGGTTCTCTGCAGACCAGTCCAGTTCTACCACACCAAGCTGGAATTAATAGGATTCATGGGGCCTAGAGTATGTCTGGACAAGGAATAGAGCTGTAGCTAATGATACAAATCAGTTTAACTTACTCTGCATAGTATATGCAACTAAAAGATTCTTCATTTTGTCTTTACATTTCAGATCAAATCTGTAACATTTTTGTTTTAATGCAACAGCAAGCAATCAGATGTCACAGAAACAATGTCTTATACCTCATATTACCAAAAAACTCTTGAGAACAGCGAACTGTTGGAATCAATGAATTATCAAAATGTTGCAGATTAAGTAATTAATTTATAGGATAATGGAATAATGACTTTAGCTCTTACGGGGAAATACCTTTGGCCATATGAATCATGTTTGATCGATGCTACACAGGTTCTTATGGAAAGGCTTTGTAGGAGTTACTGCCCCTCTTCTGTCGTGTTGAAGCTTTCAAACTGCCTGGCGTGTACACATCCCAGATGGCATCAAGACGCCTACATTTATTTAGCTGGGATGCTATGTAGGGAACAAACACATCATCTGCATACTCCTGAAAGGTCTTTGCTGTACCAGGATTCATCATCTGAATTACAAAGGCACTGTCCAGAAACACAGCATTTTTTTAAATTATTATTAATAATAACGTGTGCATAGACATTTGGCAGGGGCGGACTGGCCATCTGTAGAATTTCCCCGCAGCGAGGCTCCCCCCATTGACAATCCACTAGCGCACCCGATATAAGGTGTTCATGTGTGTTTTGTGCATGTTCAGTTTTTAAAAATCACGAAAACTGACTTCTTTCACAATATTTATTTTTCAAGGTCATTTGAAGGTCATCAAAGGTCAAATTCCAAATGCCTCCACATCTGAAAATAATCCTTATGTTCTGAAGATGCACTGTTAGAAATGTCATGGTTCTTTCACAAAATGCACAATAGGTTTTCTTATTCGCTGCACTATTAGAGAGGCACACCGCCGAAGACATGACTCTGCAAACACTCAGCACCACTATCAGACACGGGTGGCCCGCATAATCTTCCACATGCCATTAGACCGTATTTTCCTTTCAGAGACGAACTGATTGTTGAAAATGGAGTCATAATGAAGGGTCACAAAGCAGTTATTCCTTTGTCACTACAGAAAGAATACATGTGCATCATGCACAGAGGACATCCTGGTGAAGAAGCTACAAAGCGGAGAGCACGTGGCATAGTTTTCTGGCCAACTATGACAGACAACATTCACACAGAAATACAGTCATGCTGTGTGTGTAACAGCACAAAACCACACCAGCAGAAAGAACCACTCCATCTGAATCCAGTTCCAGACCTGCCGTGGTCAACTGTAG